TATCAGATGACAAGGCAAAGAAATCTGCTCAGTTGGAATGAGAGCAAGCAATTTCACTCAGAAGAAGCAAAAAGCAGCATGTTGTGGTTTATGTGCATGCTTATTGCCGTGGTATGACTTGACATTTTTTTGAGAACATGCAGTTTTGACACAGATTTGTTTTGGGCAGAGCGCTATCCAGTTCTCTTCAGACTCATTCTTTCTGTGTTCCCATCACTAATTAATTATTGGTTTCTGTTCTTCCTGTATGTGTGTTTCTTCACTTTTTAATTTTGTTTTCTTGAGTGGGAAAAGAACTCAAAAACCTAAGCAGAGTGGCTGGACTCCTGAATACATAGATAGGAGTTCTGGAAAGGAAAATTACTTTTTTTCCAGTGGTGTAATCGAAGGGAAAAAAAACTGCAAAAGCAGCTTCAGGCAAAAGTGGCAGAGCACAAAAAGCATGAAAGGTGTTTTTGCTGTTACTGTTTGTGATTTCATGTGAAGATTGGTTTGAGTCATACCTAGATGCAATTGAAGCACAGTCCAGGGAAGGAGATGTTTAATTAAAAACAAAAAGGCCTCTGGCAAGTTAACTGACACACAGGTCTGCTTTCTAAGACCTGCAGAGATCCTCTCATTCTCAGGACAGCTATCAGACAGAGCCTGCCCTGCTCAGATTGCAATAGGTTAATAATGATATTGGGAGCGAGTAGCACTTTGCTGGAGGTATTGGCACATTAGCTAGAAGAGGGCATTGTTCCATCGATTGAAACCATCTCTGTGGCAGAGCAGTATCGCTCCGCTCTGCTGCGACTGAACATCACAGCATCCACAATGTTTGCTGCCAGCTGCAGGAAGTGGGGAGAGTGGGAAAAAGCCATAGGCCACCATCAGCTCTGGATGGAGTATGTTGCAGCTCTTTATTGCAGAGATGAGTGAAGATACTGGTTTTGTTCTACTGTGCTGGATGATCCAGACCTCAGATGCAGCCAAGCCTTTCGTGCTCCACTGATGAAGCTTGCCAGGCTGCTCCTGTGCTTGTGTCTGTGAGTGACTACAGGAGGATAACAAAGTTGCAGTTTGTGACCAGGATAAACGTGTCACAACGTAGGAGGGCAGATAGAGTCTTATGGAAGATGTCTCCACTGTTATTCCATTAATGAGGAACAATTTTCACTCCTGTTTGCTCCCCCACCAAAACTCATACAGAAGGACTCCAGAGGGTTGCCTTTCTTTCTGCACAAAGTGGAGACTGTGGGGGCCAGCTAGATGCCGAAATAACCATCAAACATCTTTGCATCTTTGTAGGTCTATTCCATGCCTAAATTATACATAGGCTTCTCTGACCTTAATCGTTGAATGTCAAGAAAACTGTATGCTGCACACGTCAGAATGAAGAGCACCACTTAGATCTCTTAAAGCAAGCTACGTTTTAGCCTCCGTACCTGGTGGTGCAGGTAGTGATGTATCCTTCAGAGAAAGTAGATGTGCATTTCGGATTTTCCTTCTTGCCACTTCTGCTGCTTTGCTCTAGCCAAATTATTCTGTGGGTTTTCTTCAGAAAGTCTAAGCTTGATCCTTTTCTGCAAGTGCAAGGATGGTATCAGGAGCTGTGATTCAGCTGCAAACATTGCCCTCAGGTGTGAGATCAAGCATATTCTGATAAGGGATCCCTAGGCAGCAGGGCTCTGAGACAGCAATGTCTGGTTTCCTGATAATGTGTTACCACAGAACAGGTGGAGCCCTTCCACTGACCTTGCAAGCTTTAGCTCTGGCCCACAGAGCCAGATTTGTGCAGCAGTATGAAAGCATCTGAGTTCCTTATCTAATGAGAAAGACTTGCAGCATAGTTATGATTGATGACAGAGAAGTCCCTAAGAGCAGCATGTTTTGTCCCATATGTTAGATTTGTTAAAAAGAAAAGTACATAGGATCAACTAATTCTATGATTCTTGATTTTTTCAGTGAGGCAGATACAAATTCTAGTCATTGCATCCATCAAAATTGGAGAGGAACTTCAAAACTCTGAGCTACTACTCTAGTACAACAAGATTCTCTCTCCTGCCTGCAATATGCTGAAGATCTTGGCAGCAGTTTTTTCAATGGGACAAATAATTTTTCTTTCCATAACAGCATGACCCCTGGGAAACAATGGAATGTGTATCATGCTAATAGAAAGTGGAATTAAAAAAGCCCTACAGTCATGGAATCATAGAAAGGTTTGGGTTGGAAGGGACCTTTAAGCTCACCCAGTTCCAACCCCCTGCTACAGGCAGGGACACCTCCTCTAGACCAGGTTGCTCAGAGCTCCATTCAGCCTGGCCTTGAGTGCCTCCAGGGAGGGAGGATCCACAACCTGTCTGTGCAGCCCATCCCAGTGTCTCACCACCTTCACAGTAAAGAATTTCTTTCTAATATCTAGTCTAATAAATCCACCCTTTTCCAACTTAAAGCCATTTCCCCTTGTCCTGTCACTACATGCCCTCATAAAAAGTCTCTCCCCAGTTTCCTGTATGCCCCCTTCGGGTACTGGAAGGCTGCTGTAAGGTCCTCTGGAGCCTTCTCTTACCTGAAGAGCCCCAGCTCTTTCAGCCTGACCCTGCAGGGGAGGCACTCCAGCCCTCTGATCATCTTAGTGGCCCTTCTCTAGACCTGCTCCAACAACTCGACATCCTTCTTGTGTTGGGAGCCCTAGAACTGGACACAGTTCTCCAGGTGGGGTCTCACAAGAGCAGAGCAGAGGGGCAGAATCCCTCAACCTGCTGGTCACACTTCTCTTGATGCATCCCGGGATACGGTTGGCTTTTTGGACTGTAAGGACACGTTGCTGGTGTATATTGAGATGTCAGCCGACACCCCCACCTCCTCCTCAGAGCTGCTCTCAAGCTGTTCTCCACCCAACTTGTGTCTGTGTTCACTGGGTTGCTGCAATCCAGGTGCAGGACCTTGCGCTTGTCCTTGTTGAACTGCATGAGGTTGGCATGGGTCCATCTCATAAGCCTGTCCAGGTCCCTTTGGATGGCATCCCTTTCCTCTAGCTTGTAAATCTTTATAGTGTTTACTACAAAGACCGTACATGCAGGCTCTGAAGATTCCTTTTCACATTGACATCTCTCTATTCATTGTCTCGGAGAAGAGCGCCTCAACATTTTGGGATATGTCTTGGGGTAACAAGTCTGTTACACCTTTGTGATGGCACTATTGCTGCTGACAGTCCTGGAAGCAGGCGTCCAGTCACACCCCCATGCTGGGAGAAATGCTGTATCTAGTGAAGAAAGTCCCACCTCTCCTTTGCTGTTATGTTTCACAACAAGGATAAAACAGTGTATGAACACTTAAGGGGCACTGAAATTAGGATGTGTTGCTGTGCAGTACAAATTTCCTCAGCTCTGTGTAGCAAGAAAGAAGACTCCTGTGGTCAGTGTGCGGGCAGAACTGTTTGTAGTTCTGCTAGATTCGTGGATTGTCTGGTGGAGAACTGGAGAACAGCTTGACGCAGCCTAACTGCTCTTTAATAAGATTTCATTGCTGCAATTTAGCATAGCGGGCAGAATGAGGTTTTATGTTTGCATCTAATCCCCACTGCATTCACTGGGAGTTACATACCCACTCCTGTGCATGAACTCCTGCAGGGTCACAAGAGTGTTCATCAACTGTTCCAAGTCAGAATAGTTCACCAAATAAATACACACATCCCTTAGATAAGTACACACTTCCCTTCCTCTCAAAGCCACCAGCACATTAACACTTTCATGTGAGCGTTTACAGAGAAAATGGTACTGGCCCTATAATTGTGCATATAAAAATGTATTTAGAGAAGCTGATTATTATTTGGTGGGAGTTACTAGCAGCAAAGTAGCAGAGAATTACCACAGTATTTCCATTGCTGAATTAACAGTCAAAGAACAGCCATCATCACCATCATCACTGTTCAAATGCTCCAAAGCTAACTTGCTTTCAGGGTTTGTAACAAAAGAACTGGGGCTCTGTTTATTTTCCCCTAACGGAGCTTGTGGCACTTTATTCCAACACTTTTCTACCTCAGAAAGCTTGAAGAGGTCATCTTGGTCCAAAGAAGACTGTAGAGAGCAGGTCTTAATGAGGAGCAGCTTTGGGAGTTGGGGTTATCTGCTCTAGAGAAAAGAAGGCTCAGGAGAGCCTTAAAGGACGTCATACCAAGTCAGAGGTTGGTCTTTTCTCGCAAGTTGCAAGTGACAGCAACACAAGAGGGAATGACCTGAAGTTGCACCAGAGGATATTAGGAAAAAACTTCGTCACCGAAAGGGGTGTGAAGCTTTGGAACAGGTTGTCCAGGGAAGCAGCTGAGTCACCATCTCTGGAAGTATTGCAAAGATGTGTAGAGGTGGTGCTGAGGATGTGGTGTAGTGGTAGGTTAATGGTTGGACTGGATGACCTGAGAAGTCTTTTCCAACTTAAATGCTTCTGTGATTCTGTTATTATTTCTTACAGGTTTCAAAATTAAAATGGTCTGTCAAGTTCTTTGAGAAATACCTACATTTGTCAGTATAAGCTTTTTACTTTAGGGCTAGTGGGCTAATAACTGCTCACCGTCGTTTCAAAAACATTCTATATTCTATGAGCGCCACAACAGAAATGCTGTAGGTGTTTATGAGCCATTTGCATGCAATTTATTGGATAAGGAAAGGTGGAATCTTAAATTTATCAAAATCTCTGAGTTGTGTACTAATCATTAAAAAATGTGGAAATGAAGTGTGAGCCACCAGCTTTTCAGCAGGAGGCTGTCTGGCTGACAGCTGAACCATCACACCAAATTCATGGCAGCCTCCATTAACCTGTCCTGCAGCCAAAGTCATGGCTAATTGCTCTGTTTTTCCAGTTATCAATTCCAACTGCTCTTAGTAGAGATGATTATAGCTTAGTAGCTAGCAATTTGTATCCTGGTATTGGTACTTTTAAGAACTACAGCTCTGCTTCTTTGGTTTGTTCTCTAACTAATTTTTTTCCTATTTTGTTTCTCCTGCTCCTTTTCCCCCCAGGGTGAATGTTCACAGAAGTGCTATGACATCTTTGTGCTGGAGACAGTGTGCGTGGCTTGGTTTTCATTTGAGTTTCTCCTGCGGTCCATCCAGGCAGAGAACAAGTGTGCTTTCCTGAAAACCCCGCTCAACATCATCGACATCCTGGCCATCTTGCCTTTCTACATCTCTCTCATTGTGGATGTGGCTTCCACAAAAAACAGCAGCAAACCTGGCGGGGGAGCAGGGAACAAGTACCTGGAACGAGTGGGCCTGGTGCTGCGCTTCCTGCGGGCGCTGCGCATCTTGTACGTGATGAGACTGGCCAGGCACTCACTGGGGCTGCAGACTCTGGGGCTCACTGTGCGCCGCTGCACCAGGGAGTTTGGGCTCCTCCTGCTCTTCCTTTGCGTTGCCATGGCCCTCTTCTCACCGCTGGTGTATTTGGCTGAGAGCGAACTGGGAGCCAAGCAAGAATTCACAAGCATCCCTACCAGCTACTGGTGGGCTGTGATCTCCATGACCACCGTTGGCTATGGGGACATGGTGCCTCGTAGCATCCCCGGACAGGTGGTAGCCCTGAGCAGTATCTTGAGCGGTATTTTATTGATGGCCTTCCCAGTCACTTCCATCTTCCACACCTTTTCCCGTTCCTACAGTGAGCTGAAAGAGCAGCAGCAGCGAGCAGCAAGCAGGCAAATGCACCAGCTGGAGGAAAGCACGAAACTCGCAGGTGGCGGCCGTTCCCAGTGGCTCGCTGCTGCGTCCCCTCCAGATGCTGCCAGGGAGGGCGGCCGGCCAGTGCTGGACCAGGAAGCCAAGAGAAGTTGACTCTCCACGGCTAAAGAAGTGAGTTGGCAGCACAAGAAGCAGTGAACGTGAGGGGAAGGATCAATCTGCAAACAGAAGCCCCCAAACTGCATATATTAGGGACAGACAGACACGAGATTGTCCCTTAAGAGCAACTTTCAATCTTAGGGGCTCACTGAAAAGTGTCCCTAGAAACTCTATCAAGTACAGCTTTGCTCCATCGCTAACTGTAGGGAAGCTCTTTTCTCCTGAGCACCTGTTTTTGTGAGTCCCTGGGAGCAGCCAGCCAGGAGGCCATAAGGAAGTGGCACAGTGTGGCCGGGTGCTGCTGCTGGGCAGTGAGCGTGCCACCACCCTGTGCCATGAAAGTCTGTTCCAGCAGCCCTGCCATGGAACCCGAGGAACGCAAAGCTCAGACAACCAAAGGGATGAGGAGATGAGAAGGACAGAAGGATCCCTTCAGCTTTCCAAGGGGCTTGGTTTGCTCTGTCTTAGAAATGAGCACTATGGTCTGGGCTGCCAGCCGCCAGCTCCAACCCGTGCTGCTGCTCAGTGTGCATTATTTAGTACATACGCGTACTTACCACAGTAAGCTTTGTATCTTAGCCCATGACAGAAATATACATAGACAATCTTCCTGACTATGGCACTGAATGTTAAATTGTTGGGTTCTTTTTCTTTGCTCACTGTAGAATGTAACAAATAGAAATCACGTTTCTCCACCTTCTTCTAATTCTTTCCATCTCAGAAACATATTTAACAGATGAATAAGCCTCAAATATATGCAGCCCAAGAAGGGGAGGGCAATATTAAGTCAGCAGTGGCTTCCAGCTCTGCATGATCTTCCCTGGCAGTGCTGTCAGTGATTGCAGCCGTGTACAAGCAGGGCTGCTCCAAGCTGCAAGAAGTCAGTGTAACTCCTCCAGTGAGCTCCGGCCCGAGCTGCAGTGCAGCAGCTGAGACCTGCAGTAGTTGTTCTTTCCTCCTACTAAGAAAAAGACATTCCTCTCGTCTAAAAATTATAATCATTATTCTGGCTGTTCCTCTCAATTTTCCAAAAAAATGCAGTCACTTGAAAGGGAAAATGAATCATACGGTAGCACCCCCATGTTTGCTTACTGCTGCCGTTCCCGAGGGTTCTGAGGTACCCTAGTGTGCAGTTTCATGCTCAGAGGAGCTGTGCAGCTGAGCTACGCATGTCAGCACACTGTGTGCATTTCAGAGGACTCCTACTTTCAGGGAGCGGGAGGTGGAGCACAGTTGCCTCCTGTGCCTACACCTCTGTTGGTATTCGCAGAGCTGTAGGAACCAACCATGGTGTCACCTTCCTGTTTGCCTCTTGCCAGGGAAGGGAGCAAGAGATGTATTAAAGGTGGGTTTTGTTGGGTTTTATCAGCTTATATTATAACGCCTACCCTACACTAGCAGGCTTCTGTACTGAGCCATTCCTTATAGGAATGGAGCAAGGCAAAATAAACGTTACACTTTATTTTAATACAAATTGGAACCTTTGTTGTCGAACAAGCGCATCTGGTGGTGCTTACGATTCAGGTGACGTGGGAGGTGGTGTAAAGGCGTGCACCCAACATTCAGCCCCAGTCCCCTCCGGCAAACCAAACACAGCTGCCTGCACAGGGCTGCCATCTGTGACCTGCCCACAGGGATCTCATCTGCTCGTGCCAGCAGAAGGGCCAGGGGATGCAGGATGCTGCTGGGGCTGACTCAGACTCCTGGCAGATCAAAATCAGCAATTACGTTGCTGTGACTCACTGCAGATTTTAATTTTTTTAAATCCTGACACAGGAATTTCTTGCATTAAGATTTGGCATCAACACACAGTACTGTGGCTGGCTAAGTGCACACCAGCAAAGTGAAGAGTGTGTGTGGGCATTGCATGGCATGGTGGTGGGGAGGGCATTTGTATGCTCCATCTTCAGGTGAGCCCTGACAGACTCAGCAGGCAAACACACATCTGAAGGCATTTCATGGACTGCAGTGATCAAGGAGCCTTTTGTAGGGCACGGAATGCATCTCCTTGGGCTGGTGAGGGCCATGAATCAACAGCAGTATTATCTTACTCTTAAAAGAGCCATCTTAGAGCAGATATCCTTGCAGAATGAAGAGTTTCACGCAGGCAGTGCTAACAGATAACAATTAATTAATGCCTTTTTTGAGCCTACAGCATGAAAAAGCCTGCACTGAGACACCTAACTGCATCTCAGCAGCTTTGTGGAAGATGACACATCATATTATTGCTGTGCTTCATGAAGTTGATACAGCCCTACAATAGTGAGTTCTTTGCAATTTTGAAAGGCAGATAATTAATTCCAGCATGCGCAGAGTCTTAATAAAGTGACAGAACCCACGCATTATGTCTGTTAGTCAGGTCTGGCTTTTAATAAAGTTTCATTTTATCGATGACAGATGAGGAAACAAATATAAACCAGGAACCGTTTAAACAAGTTATTTTTGGAAGCCATATGAAGTTCTCATGCACGACATTGCTAGGCATAAAAGATAAGCAGAGGACCGTGAGTTCTTCCAGCATGGCTGCTACCACGAGTGATGCTCACTATTTTGATCAGCAGCTGGAGAATCGTTGGCTTTGTGCATGGCTGTCGGTTTTCCTTTGACACAGCACACAAATGGCTGAAGGCCATTTATCTCTAAGCAAAATAAATGCTGTGCTGTTGTCTGAACGCATGCCAGCGCCACCAGGTAGCTGCATGTTTCTTGTGAAGCACAGTGTGGTGCTTGATGGTGTCGCACATTCTTTTTGCATCAAAGAAAATCAGTGTCCTCTGTCTAGTACAGCACCTGGACTCACTGCACATCGGAGCAAAGCCAGCGCTTGGTGATGGTACTCGTGGGGTGGGACATGGGGAACAGAAAGGATGGTCCTGTAGGATGGAGCACTGTGACTGAGCTCCCAGATCAGACAGTAGCTGCAATGCTACACGTGTGCTGGCCAATAGGACTGGGTAAAATGCTGTCTGAAGAATGGAAACGCAGAATGCAAAGTCACGACAGATCAAAAATGCAAAGGCATACTTACATGAAGGTGCTTTATTTAGTATACGAATTCTCCCACAAGATCCTTGTTACGAAACTTCAGAAGTGTAGGATAGATGAGTGGATGGCAAGGTAGATTAAGAACTGGCTGACTGGCAGAGCTCAGAGCTGTCAGCAGGAGTCAGGTTAGAGACCTCTAACTAGTGATGTTCCACAGGCATTGATGCTGAGTCTGGTCTTGTTCAGCATCTTCATTAACTACCTGAATGAAGGGATGGAGTCCAGCTTCAGCAAGTTTGCTGATGATACAAAGCAGGGAGGATTGGCTGACACACCTGAAGGCTGTGCTGCCACTCAGCAAGACCTGGACAGGCTGGAGAGCTGGGCAGCTAGAAACCAGATGATGTTTAATAAAAGCAAGCGTAGGGTCTTGCACTTGGGGAAATAACTGCATGCATCAGCACAGATTAAGGAGATAGCTTCCTAGAGAGGAGCTCTGCAGAGAATGACCTGGGTGCTCCGGTAGACAACAGGTCGGCCATGAGCCAGCAGTGTGCCCCTGTGGCCAAGAAGGCCAGTAGAATCCTGGGGTGCATTAAAAAGAGTGTGGCCAGCAGGTTGAGGGAGGTGATCCTCCCCCTCTACTCTGCCCTGGTGAGGCCATATTTAGAACACCGTGTCCAGTTCTGGCTCCTCAGATCAAAAAAGACAGGGATCTTCTAAAATAAGTCCAGCAAAGGGCCACAAGGGTGATGAAGGGCCTGGGAGTATCTCCAGCATGAGGAAAGGCTGAATAAACTGGGTCTGTTCAGCCTGGGGAAAAAAGGATTGAGGGGGGATCTGGTTAACATTAATAAATATCTAAAGGGAGGTGGGAGCCAGGCTCTTCTCAGTGGTGTGCAGTGACAGGACAAGGAGCAATGGTCTAAAACTTGAACACAGAAACTTCTATACAAACATACAGAAAAGCTTCTTTACAGTAAGGGTGACGGAGCATTGGAACGGGTCACCCAGAGAGGCTGCAGAGTCTCCTTCTCTGGAGATATTCCAGACTCGTCTGGATGCCTTCCTGTGCTTTAGCAGAGGGGTGAACTTGATCTCTAGAAGTTCCTTTCAATCCCTGCAATTCTGTGATTCTGTGAATTCTGGCAGCTTCCAACAATAATCATTTGAAAGACTTAAGATGCAGTTACAGACTTGAAAAGGGACAGCGTTGGAGTGGCACAATTTCTGCTGCTCATAAGGCACATCACAGCCAACTCCCACTTCCTAGCAACCTTAACTGAGAAAAATGACTATTTTTCACTGTCATACATCAACAGGGCCAGAATAAGCAGAGTTTATGACAGCCTCACAGTAGCCCTACAGAGGAAGAATACCTATTGCTCTCACAGCATCAGGGTCCTCCAAACTACAGCCTTAAGAGTACAAAGCATTGGCACGGAAGAGGGAAGGGGCAGATGAAGAGGCTGGTGGGTAAACAAATTCAGTGTGGTTCTACTGGCCAAAGAAGGGGAAGGACAGAGATGGGGAAATCACAAGCCTGTGCTTTCCATCAGGACATTTCCAGATGCAGCTTGGGCCCTGGCTGCTCTACAAGGCTGTATATGCCGATATCTGTCCAGATTCTGGGTGTGCTTCACATTTTATCAATTTATCTAATTAACAACTGTTGTTACAGGTATTCAGACTGCACAATTATTTACCAATATATTTTGATTCTGTCACTGAAACCACCAATGAAGCTAAAGCTGTCAACCCTTGGAACTTAGGCCTAAGCTAAGAGTCACAGAATCACAGAATGGCCTGGGTTGCAAAGGAGCACAATGCTCACCCAGTTCCAACCCCTGCTGTGTGCAGGTCACCAACCAGCAGCCCAGGCTGCCCAGAGCCACATCCAGCCTGGCCTTGAATGCCTGCAGGGATGGGGCATCCACAGCCTCCTTGGGCAACCTGTGCCAGTGCCTCACCACCTCTGGGGGGGAAAACTTCCTCGTCATATCCAACCCAAACCTCCCCTGTCTCAGTTTAAAACCATTCCCCTTGTCCTATCACTGTCCACCCTCACACACAGCCGTTCCCCCTCCTGTTTCTACGCTCCCTCCAAGCACTGGAAGGCCACCATGAGGTCTCCCACAGCCTTCTCTTCTCCAAGCTCAACAAGCCCAGTTCCCTCAGCCTTTCCTCACAGCAGAGCTGCTCCAGCCCTCTGCTCATCTCAGTGCCTCCTCTGGACCCGCTCCCAGAGCTCCACGTCCTTCCTGTGCTGGGGGCCTCTTTCCTTTGCACCAGCCCTCCCTCCTCACTCATTCCCATTCTCCAGCCTCATCAGCCACCATAGGTAGCAGCAGCAAACTCCTCCCCTCCTCTGGAGCAGCCAGTGGAGCCCCACAGTGCCTGGAGCCACGCACTGCCCGGCCATGAGGTTACACCCATTGTCCTCATCTCCCTTGTAGAGACTGAACAATCACGTACCTCAACTGTGTCCCACATTCCATCTCCTTGTACAGTTTGCACAGTACTTTTTGAGGCTACACAAAATATACCATCTCTTAGCAATTTGTTTTTACAGGCATAGGAGAAGGTAACTTGAAAAAAGATCATGAGGCTAAGTTCACTTCAAAA